GGATCTCGAGGAACACACGAATTCATTCGACCAATCAAAAACGTGGAACTAGTTCGAGAATCTCGTTCAGGTGGCGCGTCGACGCGCCAAAACACAGCTCCAGATTATCACGCGTAGTATTACTATATATATACGACTAATCAAAAACGTGGAACTGCTTCGAGGGCCCTCCGCTAAGGTGGCGCGCCGAAACCAGAGAAAAATTGAGACCACCAAAAACAGGCTCATTGGCAATCTCCCTACTCATCTCTGCCTCTAGTCAAAGTCCGGCCAACACCCGGAAGGGACGCCATGTTGAGGGCTCGTTTGGCGCCGCCATGACATTGCGCGAGATTCGGTCGAGTCTCGCGCCAAGTACAGGCAACCCGCCGTACAGGGCTTAACACTACCCACACTACACAATGCGAATCTCTCCCATATACGTATTCACACACACCATCCTATTCCGGAAAGAGAACTCAAAATAGCGGAGCCAATCACTAAGAAGGCCCACCGTTGGCCGGACTCTGACTAGAGGGACTCTAACCACTGGCCTACGGCCGCCCCAACTGTCATCCTCGCCGTGAAATAAATATAAAATCATTTTCTTAAATAACTATGTGTTATTTGTTGTAGACCTTATCTTAATTTTTAGGGTAGCTTCCAAAGCTAATGACTTCCAAACAAATGATTTAACTACTGAAATACAAGTTTCGAAGTAAATATACAAAGTACATGATGCTGGTCGATAGGCAAGGCATTGGGTTAGGAGGCTAAATGTCTGTGGTTCGAGACTCTCCGTCGGAAGTTTTTTTTTCTTTTTCTAGACGTTATAATTTTTCTTTTAAATACAAGGTACTAAGGAGGTTGAAGCGCTTCACGCCGGTCAAATCAGTGCTGAATATTTTTTATCGTTTTTACAAAGTTTTATGAATTACTTGATTGCAGTGAAGGGTGATTTGTATTATAACATGTACCCATAACCCATAATAACATTCAGCTCAATATTTTTCATCGTTTTTACATAGTTTTATGAATTAATTGATTGCAGTGAAGGGTGATTTGTATTATAACATGTGCCCATAACCCATAAAAACATTCAGAGCGATGAATTTACAATAATATTACCTGACCAATATTACATAATGCATTAAATTTACAAAAACTTACTAAACGACGAATCTAGACGTTCGACTAGTGTGTTTCTCGCGTTTTCTGGAGGAAAGTACTCTTTCTTTTTACCTGGCCAAGTACGTGCATGCAATATAATATACCTAGGTATATCGAGATAAACAACACAGCATTAGTCCAGTTAAATAGAGTTATAGTCGAGAATTTTAGTATTCAATTTGGATGAACAAAATATATTTCTTACTACAGAGCGCATGTTATTTAGATTTTTCAGTTGAACCATTTTTTTACGTTATTGTGATTTGCTTATACGCTAATTATTTAAAGGGATCATTTCTATGACGTTATTGAACACAGCATTAGTCCAGTTAAATGGAGTTATAGTCGAGAATTTTAGTATTCATTTTCGATGAACAAAATTTATTTCTTACTACAGAGCGCATGTTATTTAGATTTTTCAGTAGAACCATTTTTTTACGTTATTGTGATTTGCTTATACGCTAATTATTTAAATGGATCATTTGTATGACGTTATTATCTTCGATCGTAGTATAGACCTACTGGGGTCCTGCTACGTTAAATAATGGGAACGTATCGACTACGGCACCTCTTGGGTGATGTGGAAGCCTGTAGATTATCATTGTTGATGCCTTTATTATAATAAAGTAATAAATAAAATTAGAAAAAATTGATATTTGGTTCGATTTTTTTTACCTTCAGCGTGCAGCTCGTACAACTTTTGAAGAGGTTGAAGCACTTCACGCCGGTTAAATCAGTGCTAAATTTTAGTAATCGTTTTTGTAAATTTAATGCATTATGTATTATTGGTCAAGAAATATTATTGTAAATTCATCGCTCTGAATGTTTTTATGGGTTATGGGCACATGTTATAATACAAATCACCCTTCACTGCAATCAATTAATTCATAAAACTATGTAAAAACGATGAAAAATATTGAGCACTGATTTGACCGGCGTGAAGCGCTTCAACCTCTTTAATACCTTGTACTTAAAAAAAAAAATCAACCTCCAGAAGAAGAAAAAAAAACTTCCGACGAAGAGTCTCGAACCACAGATCTCTAGTCTCCTAACCCAATGCCTTGCCCATCGACCAGCATCATGTAATTTTTATACTTTCTTCGGAACTTGTATTTCAGTAGTTAAGTCATTTGCTCTACCGCATAATTGACAGATAAACCATATGCACGATTTTCCTTTAAATACATTCGTATGTTCTTCATATCTAAATTATTAATAAAAACAAATGGATGTATAAACAAATGGATTAATAAAAACAAACAAAACAAACCTTAAAAATTTAGGTAAGGTCTACAACAAATAACACATAGTTATTTAAGAAAATGATTTTATATTTATTTATGTGTACTTGCATATGTGATCTACAATCCGAAAATATACATTCCCAATAGAAAGCAATAAGAGTTATAACACTGAAATTCGTTTCTATTATATGATCTTTGATACACGTGATAAATCCTACAACTTCTCGATCAATAATTCTATTTAGAATGTTTTTTGTGTTATTAATGTCACTCGGAACAAATGGTGCTTGTTTCTTGCAAACAATTTGCGCGTGCGCGCTACAGTCTCTTTTAGTACAAATCACCACTCATACGCAGCGCCACAAGATAGCTTGGTGTGGCGACCAACGAGGCAGCAGCCAATCAGAGGCGAGGACTCCCGCAGTTGTGGCGCCCTCAGGATCAGGCGCTTCAAGAAGCTTCTAGTCGTCTCGCACCTTGCACAACAGCTTGACTGTCTTCCTGTAACGTCAATTATTAATAAATATATTGTGTGTTTTGTATGATCTCCTGTGATACTTACTCACCTGCATCACCGGCCACAAATTGGTAACCCCGACGTGATCGTGGAAGTTTCAACTGAAGCTGTATTACCTGAAAAAGATAAGACGCATTAAAGATGGCCGAAGACGCGCAAAATGCGGATCTACAACAAAGAGAAGGAGATGCACAACAGGAAATCCTGGCTTGCCGAGCCACTAAATCGCCTCCTTTTAACAAAAACAATGTAAGAGCATGGCTAGCTTTTATGGAAATGAATTTGAGGCTGAACGGATTACCAGTGATCGGACAAGGTTTAGGCGCACAGCGCTGGCATTAGACGCACAAGTGGTCGAACAAGTCTCCGACCTGATAACTGATCCCCCAGAGACCGACAGGTATTCGACTTTGAAGAACAGACTACTTGCTATTTTTGGTGAGTCCGAACGTGCTAGGTGGCATAAACTGCAAGAACTAGAATTAGGAGATCAGAAGCCGTCAATGCTTCTGAACTCCATGAGGCGACTCGCAGGAGATCAGCTTGGAGACGGTGCTCTGCAAAACATGTTTCGCGACAAATTGCCTGAACAAATTAGAATCTTACTAGCCATGGAACCTGAGCCAGAGCTAGAAAAACTGGCAGCTCGAGCTGATCGCATGATCGAGGCTACAAGATCTCATGTGGCTCAGATCTCATCGAAGGACCCTGCAGTACAACAGGAGGCTCACCACGAGGAACACCTCGAAGCCTTCAGTAGAGGACCGCCACGCAAGGGCAGGACGCAAAATAATTGGCAACCACCACCTACGAATAAAGGTAAGTTTAACAATCGTTCAGATTATGTTTGTTTTTATCATCGTAGGTTTGGATACAATGCCCGCAACTGCGAGGGTAACTGCGCTTTCAAACGCAAACAACCAGCCACAATAGAGGTACTAAGAGGTGTCTCCAAATCCAACCGATTAATTATCAGCGACAAGATCAACCGCTTAAACTTTCTTGTCGACACCGGAGCGGAGATCTCAGTTCTCCCAAAAAGAAGCTGCAAAGGAGTCAGCAGAGAAACGGGTTACAAGCTCTATGCGGCTAATGGCACAGCCATAAAGACATTTGGCACCCGAGTTCTGGCTCTTGAGCTCGGTCTACAGAAGCAGTACCATTGGGAGTTCTGTGTGGCCGATGTGGAACATCCTATCATCGGGGCCGACTTTCTAAAATGTCATAACCTGACTGTCGACCTAAAAAATCGACGTCTATTGGATGTGGCCTCATGTCATCAAACAACGGGGAAAGTAGCTCAATTATCCATTCCCATAGCCACCATTCACAAAAACAATCCCATGCACAAACTCTTAGCTCAGTTTCCAGATATCACCACGCCTAGGAAAACAGATGTTCGAGTCAAGCATCAGGTAGTACATCACATTGAGACAACGGGCCCACCCGTGGCTCAACGCTATCGGAGGCTAGATCCCGAGAAACTCAAGGTAGCAAAAGCTGAATTCAATCTGATGGTGGATCAAGGCATCTGCCGTCCGTCAAAAAGCCCCTATGCAAGTCCATTACACATGGAACGAAAGAAATCGGGTGATTGGAGACCCTGTGGGGACTATCGAAGACTGAATGCAGTAACAATCCCTGATAAATATCCGGTGGCACACATACATGACATCACCAGCGATCTTAGAGGCAAGAAGGTTTTCTCGTCCATCGACCTGAAAAGAGCTTATCATCAAATTCCAATGGCAGTGGAGGATATACCAGTGGCGCACATACATGACATCACCAGCGATCTTAGAGGCAAGAAGGTTTTCTCGACCATCGACCTGAAAAGAGCTTATCATCAAATCCCAATGGCAGCGGAGGATATTCCCAAGACGGCAGTCATCACGCCATTCGGACTTTTCGAATTTATCATGATGCCCTTCGGTCTACGCAATGCTACACAGACTTTTCAAAGGTTCATGGATGAAGTACTTAGGAACCTACCATTTGCTCACTGCTACATCGACGACCTGCTGATTGCCTCAAAAGATGAAACAGAACATGTGGAACACTTACGACTAGTTTTCAATCGGCTCAGGGACTACGGCCTCACTATCAACCCGGACAAATGCCAATTTAACAAATCTAAATCCGGACAAATGCCAATTCAACAAATCTGAAGTGACTTACCTGGGTCATAAAATCAACGCTGATGGTACGCGACCATTGCCGGACAAAGTCCTAGCCATAACAAACATGCCGAAACCTCAAACAATAGACGGACTTAGACGCTTCTTAGGAATGATAAACTTCTATAGGAAATTCATCAAAAATGCGGCAGATATCCAAGCACCACTTTATGAGTACCTAAAGGAAAGCAAGAAAAAAGACAGAAGACCCATAAGCTGGACACGACAAGCAGAAGAAGCTTTTGAAAAATGTAAGCAAAGCTTGGCGCAAGCAGCATCACTAGCATTTCCACGAGAAGGGGCATTCTTTGTCATTACCTCCGATGCTTCCAACACAGCAATCGGTGCAGTTCTGCAACAATACAGTGGGCATAAAGAAGAACCATTAGGATTTTTCTCCAGGAAACTACAAGGCAGCGAGTTAAATTATAGCGCCTACGACCGCGAGCTTCTAGCGGTTTTCGAGGCAGAAAAAATATTTCAAGCACCTACTAGAAGGTCGAAGGCTACGCATCAAGACGGATCACAAGCCTTTGACGTATGCCTTTCAGCAGAATTCCGAAAAAGCATCACCTCGCCAACTCAGGCAGTTAGATTTCATCAGTCAATTCACCACTGACATTGAATACATCGCAGGTGACTCTAATACTGTAGCGGATACACTATCCAGAGTGGAGGTCATCACGTTGCCAGTCATCACTGATACACAGGAACTAGCGGAGGAACCACTCAAGGATCAAGAGCTGCAGCACGTCCTGAAGTCAGCGACAGCACTGCAGTTACGACCACTACGTATTGACGGCTCAGAGAAAACGGTCTACTGCGACATCTCTACAGGCACAGCCCGTCCTTATATTCCGGAAGCTTTACGTCAACGTGTTTTCGACATGTGCCACAACATGTCGCATCCGAGCGGCAAAGCCACAAGCTTACTCGTGAGACAGCGCTTCGTTTGGCCAAACATGAAGAAGGACATCCTGGCACGGGCAAAAACATGCTTGCCTTGTCAGCTCAATAAGGTCAGTCGCCACAATCGGGAAGCAGATATACACATCCCGATACCAGGAAAACGGTTTCAACATGTTGTAACGTTACAAAACAATCATCCTCTCAGGACTCGTGTACTGAGAACGCGCGCGTTACAGAGGGACGGCAAATCACGCGTCTAGTAGAAACACGCGCCGATAGATGGAGAACGTCTCCCAAAAGTGAAAGTAAGGAAAGTTAGTATCAACGTAATCCGACAGATGATTAGCGCTTCCCGCTAACAAATACCGGATTACCGGTAATTAAATACGACATTTCAAATCGATAGAAGGCAGTTCACAACAAGTCGGAATTACGAGAGTAGATAAACTCGAGTTAACCACAAATTGGAAGCATTAGAGAGGATAAAAGAAAGTTCTTCGAGGATCCACCTCGATCGCAAAGATAGTCTAAAATTCATAATCGTGTCGAGAGGCTACGGGATACTAGCACTTGTTACTCCACGTAGACCTGCGTAGAAGGATTATAAAAGCTCTGCAGAGACCATCGTGATCTTTCGTAGGGACTTACGTCAGTGCCATTTCGTAATCAGTCATCCGCGCCGTTAGGAGTTGCGTCGCACATAGTGCCATAGCCGCTAGGAAGGCAAAGCGCCTCTAGGGTTATCGAACCAACACCGGCAGATCCTCTGTACCTCCCATACAGGTCAGAGAGAGATAGGGTTAGACAATAAACATAGGCAGACACCTAAACAATCCGTTTTCCTACCATACCGACAATAGATTTGGATTAGATAAATGACACCGATTATAACTCTACTGTATCGATCATCGATTATTTAATAAAATTTTGTTATTTTATTTTACGTTACCAACCTGTGTCGACTACCTTCTTAAAGACGCCAGCCCCGAGCACTTACCAACATCCCATTTCGTACACTCATAAGGAGCGTACGAAATTGCACTATCGACAAACGTTACAATGTACATCTGGACATAGTAGGACCGCTTCCAGCATGAAAAGGCTACAAATATTGCCTTACTATGATAGACCGTTTTACGCGCTGGCCGGAAGCAGTGCCACTAAAAGGAGTGACAGTGGACTCCATCAGCGAAGCTTTCTACACAAACTGGGTCGCCCGGTTCGGTACACCGGAAGCGATCATCACAGATCAGGGAAGTCAATTTGAATCGCGAGCATTCAACGCTTTGGCCAACCTTCTCGGCTGTGAGCATAAAAGATCGACAGCGTACCACCCTCAAACCAACGGTATTCTCGAGCGGTGGCATCGCTCACTCAAAGTAGCACTGAGCTGTCACGACAAACAAGACTGGACGGAGGCATTACCCACCGCACTTCTAGGATTAAGAACGGCATACAAAGAAGACATCAAAGCCTCGGCAGCGGAATTGGTCTATGGAACTACATTAAAAATACCTGGATAACTAATTTATCATGATCTAGATTCTTCTGGGACACAGATATATGCGGACAAATTCCGAAGGCACATGGCGCGCCTGAAACCAACTCCGACAGCACATCACAATAAGAAGAGCCTATTCGTACACAAAGATCTTCATAGCTGTTCACACGTCTTACTACGAACAGATGCAACAAGGAGACCCTTGGAACCAGTCTATGAAGGATCCTACCAAGTCTTGGAACGTGTTGACGACAGGGTCTTCCGAATCCAAGTTGGCCGTTCCGCGGTGAACGTTTCAATCGAGCGGTTGAAACCAGCCTTCATGATCAACGAACCTTCTTCATGCCAAGAAGAAACGCGAATAGAGCAGAAACTGGCAAGCAGATCAAGGACGGACACAGGAAGTCGTCCATCCACCTTAGTCCAAGTCCCTAATTCCCAGATGGCTTTACCTTCAGGAGAACGACCAACTAATCCACTTACCTATCTAAAGAAAAAAATGGAGGGAGGCTGGAGGGGGAGCAGTGTGGCGACCAACGAGGCAGCAGCCAATCAGAGGCGAGGACTCCCGCAGTTGTGGCGCCCTCAGGATCAGGCGCTTCAAGAAGCTTCTAGTCGTCTCGCACCTTGCACAACAGCTTGACTGTCTTCCTGTAACGTCAATTATTAATAAATATATTGTGTGTTTTGTATGATCTCCTGTGATACTTACTCACCTGCATCGCCGGCCACATTGGGATTTTCGGGGCGCCATCTACCCGCCGGGATTGGAACTAAAATTTTACTATAGTATATGCTTGAAATACCCCCACCACGTCCTCCGTACCTCTATACCTATCTACACTCAACAGTAATACTAGAGATGAGTAGGGAGATTGCCAATGAGCCTGTTTTTGGTGGTTTCAATTTTTCTCTGGTTTCGGCGCGCTACCTTAGCGGAGGGCCCTCGAAGCAGTTCCACGTTTTTGATTAGTCGTGTATATATAGTAATACTACGCGTGATAATCTGGAGCTGTGTTTTGGCGCGTCGACGCGCCACCTGAACGAGACTCTCAAACTAGTTCCACGTTTTTGATTGGTCGAATGAATTCGTGTGTTCCTCGAGATCCACGATTTTAAACCGGGCGAACACTCAAATAGGGAGACTTGAATCCACCCTTTCTTACTGCATATTACATACACCGTAGTAATGAGGTATTAAATTTTGCCGATGTTAATTCCCTTAATATCCATATGAAGCTTTGTAAATAATAGAGTGAGCAAATAAAACTTTCAACAAACCCTCGAACGTGGGTAACTACAGAAATATAAAGTTTCCAATTTGTACAGCACAATGGCTCGGTAGCGTACGTGCTTGGTGCTGGGTTAACGTCCGAGAATCTCGAGTTCGGAACTCACATCTCATCCCTTTTTTTTTTAATTATCAACTATGCTTATTGGTTCACCTAGTTAACTAAAGATTCATTAAATATATGATTATATTAGTCTACAAATATTGTATTATATTACATCGTATACATGCAATAAATTGGTACATCAAACAGCGAACGTTTCTTCTTCCCGAGAGCCTACCTTAACTTAAGATTCATTAAATATATGATTATATTAGTCTACAAATATTGTATTATATTACATCGTACACATGCAATAAATTGGTACATCAAACAGCGAACGTTTCTTCTTCCCGAGAGCCTACCTGTGACAGACACCTATGTTACGCTGTTTCATGTTTTAATAGCATAAATAATATTTAGACGGATAAAGAAGGCATTACGGAAAATTACCAAAAACCAAAATGCACTTATAAATCTCGGGCATAAAAATAATGATGAGCATATACAAATGAACCAATTATTTTCTATAGTGAGATGAAACGAATAATGTATCTGGTTAGGGATTTTTTTTTTCATTTAATGTTTACTATTCAAGGCTATGTAAAGGTAACATTTTTAATACATCGAATTATCAGAAAATTATGTCGAAGTATAATTTTACCTCTGAATTATTTTTTAAATCAGAACATACTGATAATTCGAGATATTAAAAATACAAGTATCTTTACGTAGGCTTGAATAAAAAAAATTTACTAAATTGAATCAGGCTACTCTAAAATGTATGAAACTAACAATTTCTAAGCAGATACACTTATGCTTTTCATTTTTTTACCCGATATTAATAAATGCAATTTTTGGGACATAAAATTAAAACAAAAAATGAAATGGAGAAATGTATCTATGTTAGAAATGCAAAAGCGTTAAGCGTTAAGCGAATGCAACGAGATTTTTTTCCATTGCTGTCAATTTTTCTCGTACGTCTTCATGAGAGTCCGTATCGCAACAAGTGAGGCTGCTCAGTTCCACCAGCTATGGATTATCATTTATGAACAACATGCATTGGGCGCGTTGGCAACGATTCAGCTTCGTAATCGTAAGGTGACGCGTTCGCGTCTGGAGACGAAAACTTTTTTGTTTAATTTTTTTAAGAGGTAATGCCACTCTAAGCGCTCAAAAAAATAAAACATTGTAGTCAATTATTATTAAAAAATAGCATATGTAATATAGAGTCTATTTAGATAAATTTA